CTCCTCCTCCTCCTCCTCCTCCTCCTCCTCCTCCTCCTCCTCCTCCTCCGGCGGCGCGCGCGAGACTGCCGCGCTCCCCGGTGCATGTTGATCGGGGGCCGGCAGAACCCCCCGCCGCCCCCCAAGGAATGAGGACGGCTTCCCCGGGGGTGACCCGTAGTCTCAGACAGCGGCCACTCCCAGGGGGGAGGGGTCTGCCAGCCAGGGCCTCTGGAGAGCATGCCCAAGACCGCCACGGCAGCCAGGAAAATGGCGCCGGCGCTGGCGTCGTCCCCCGCCGTCTCTGGCCCGCGTCGGGCCTGGCAGCGTCCGCGCCCCGCGCCCCCGGGCGTCGAGCAGCCGCGCTGTCCAGCCCCGCGGCTGCGTCGCCGCTCCGGCCGCCGCGCCAGCCTGCAGCCGCCCCGCTGCAGTTTGCAGCGGCGCCGCCAGCTAGCGCCGCCTCCCGCAGCAGCCGCGCCAGGCCTGCAGTCTGGTCGCCAGGCCCTGGCCCAGCCGGCGGCGCCGCCAGGCGTCCGCGTGGCGTTCGCCACTGGCCAGAGCGCCAGTCCTGCCCGCCCGCCGCCGCGGCCAGCAGCGGCGCGGCGCCCGCGGCCCAGCCAGCGCGGCCCGCTCGGCGCTTCTGGCTCAGTCAGAGCGTCAGCAGCTCAGCCCCCTCGGGTTCACGCGCCTGGCGCTGGCGGCCCAGCCCTGCACCTGCGTCGCCGCCAGCACTGCGTCGGCGGCGCGGCGTTGGAGGGCGCACCCGAGCGACTGGTGGAGTCGCCGGATGGCCGCCGAGCGTTCTGCGTCCCGCGCGGGCGCCAACAGCCGCGCCAGGGCCAGCGCCCCCTCGCCCAAGCGGCCGTGGTCCTCGACCACGAAGAGCACTTACGGCCACCCCAGGGTAGCGGGCCCGCAAGCTTGCGCCGCGCCGCGGCCGCCGCCGCCGCGCCGCCCCGCCGCGCGGAGCCGAGCCCGAGCGCGTCTGGCGTGAGCGCGCTCACCACAGTCAGGTCGACCATGAGAGGCTCGGCAAGGCGCGGGGCGTGGACGACGATGTCCATCCGCGCCTCCTCGGGGCTCGCCGGCGCAGCGTGGGGGGGCGGGACTTCCTGGTGCACGGTGCACCCGTGTTCCTCGCACCACCCCGCGAGCGCCGCGCAGCCAGCGTCGCGGCGGCGGACCAGCCACCCGCCCACGGCGCAGCCTCGCGCGTGCCGCCCCGGGTCTAGCGGCGCGCCGCAGATGCCGCCGCTGGGGCGCCAGCGCCGGCAGAGCCTTGGCAGTCGCGGCCCCGCTGCCCCCTCCGCCAACAGGGGGGCCAGCGCAGCCAGGCAGGTCAAGGTTTAGCCGGAACCGCAGCACAATGTCGAGTTGCGCGCCGGTCAGCCAGTGGCAGGGCAGCGCCGGCACCTGCAGGAGGGCGCTCGCCCCTGGGCCCAGGGCGGAGCGCAGGGCGGCCGCCGCCAGGGGGTCCGCGGCCGCGTCGTCGGCAGCGAGGCGGGCAGCCGCAGCGAGGGGGGTCCTTGCCGTCAGTGCCTCGTCGCCCACGAGGGCGGCGTCGTCTCCCAGGGCAACCCGGAGCGTCGCCGTGGCCGCCGGCAGGCTGCGGCGCGCCCATGGGCTCACCGCGGCCAGGGCGCTGGCGCTCTCGAGACAGGCCCAGCCGCCGCAGGCAGTGCGGCAGGCGAAGGTGCCGGGAGGCGGCGTGCGCCGCGGGGGCCATGAGCTCCGCGCTCTGCAGCCTGCGGCCCCCTGCCGCGCCGGCGAGGAAAAGCTTAGCGGTGTCGCCCAGCGTCTCGCCCAGGGCGTGCTTGTACTCCGCGGCCAGCGCCCGGTCCAGGGCCCGCGCTTCTCCGCTCGGGACGCCGCGGGCGCGCGCCACGAAAAGGCGCAGTCGGAGCCCGCCCTCGCGCACAGGAGGGTCACCGCCACATGCTTATCCAGGCCCGCCGCGCAGAGGGCGCGGAGTCGCTGGTAGAGCCTCCCGCGGGCCGTCTGCAGCGCACCCACCCGGGGCTGCCTGCGGCGAGGAGGCCCCATCCGGCCGGCAAGGCGGCGGGGGCCGCCGGAACGGCCGGAAGCGCGCCGCGGCGGAGTACCAGGGCCCGAGGCTCCAGCTCGCGCAGCCCAGGGAGCGCCACCGCGTCGACGCTTAGCTTCGTCTTATCCGGGTTGCCACGGAGGCCGACAACGGCGCAGGTGCGGTCGAAGGCCTCCTCGGCGGCCTCGGCTCTGCTCGGGTCACAGATGACGCCCAGGTCGCCCTGGTAGCAGTAGTCGCCCGCCCCGTCGCTGCGGCCGCTGCCTGCTCGACGGCGCTGGCCACCCCAAGGTAATTAGCGCAGAGGGAATGCATGGTTGGTGAGGGCGTCTCCCTGGTCCCCGCCGCGCCCCTTCGGGGGGGGGGTCTGCGCGCCGTCGCGCGCAACATGCACGCGCGCGGCAGCTGCGCGCAGGCCCAGGCGAGCCCATGGCAGCAGGTCCGGGACAAGGGTCGACACAGCTGTCGCCGCGGCTG